CATTCAATCTCCAATACTATAATCCATCATTTTGGAGTGGGTGTGAACTCCACAAGAGGCTATTTTCTTGGGTACAATACTGTGGCATATCTCTTTTCCCACAACACAGTCAGCGGCGAGGCAGGTGGACATTCACAAATGTGCCGACTATCTGAAATGCCAAATTGAACTGCAGACTATGCATTTTCAAGCTGTTGGCCTTTTGTTAGCACCATTGCAAAAAACAAAAAGCTTTTATGCACTGAAACTGAAAGATGGATTGTCTGTAAGAATTTGTGCTCCACAAAAAGATCAAATTTCCTAAAAACCACATGGATGCTTGGGGCTTTCTCTAAATATGAATACACGTGACTAGTTTGCTAGTTCAGAACACAATACTGAGACTCTTTATTTCTTAAGACACTTGGCCCATTGGGACTGTCCTTGCAAGTGCATTGTAAGTTTTGGGAACAAAAAGCATTCTAACAGAGATTTTCTTCATCTTGATTTTATTTAAAAGCACATTATGTTTACAAAATGGCATCTATACACAAACACAAAACAAGACAAATAAAGATACCATAAAATATTCTCAACATTTCAAGACAGAGACTGTCTGTCTCCAAGATGACAGATACTGGGTACGGGGGCAGGTCACGACACAGGCTTTGACTAGACCAGACTGGAACAAATGTTGCTTTAGTTTACAGTATGTTACTCTGATCTGGAGGGACTGGATCTGGACTGGCCAGTGGAATGTCTCTATGTTTTTATGTCAGTAACGCTGGGTTGTAGCTCTATTGGTATTTGCCTCTTCAGATTTACATGGTTGTGGGAGGGGGCGGATATTTTCACCATGCTGGGGCCGTGTTTGCAAGTCGTCTCATTCGCCTGAAACAGAAAAATTTTGATATGAGTCACAACACCTCCAAAATCTCCAAATGAAAATCTGTACAAAGTACTAATATTATTGGTCTTAGAGAAGTAATAGTTTGTCATTGACATATGGCTTGTCTCTCTAGTTGGTACACATCTGCTATGGGGCAAAATGGTAATTTAAGTAAAGCAGTTAATTCTCTTACCTTGTGTTTCTGTCCTGGTCCCTGATCTTTTTCTCCATCTCAGCATCTGTCAGTGTCTCAAGCAGTGGACACCACTGGTCAGCATCACCTGTGTTCCGGATGGCAATCTCCACCGTGGGAAGAGGGTTCTCACTACAAAAAGACAAATTGTTCATTTGAGCCAGACCTTTTTTAGTAGTTTCACAAAACTACATTTACAGAAATTTATAATAAATTCCCAGAGGAAGGTCAAGACCTTTTTGATGGGTTTTGTAATGTTCTAGACATCAGACACAGTCTGAAAAGATGTCCAACTTAGAGAAAGTTCACATTTGTTTGCAAGCTCAAGTTGTGAACACTTTCCTATGCTCTTTAGCATATAAATGGAAAAACTTTTAAATGAGTCAAACTCTAAAAATGTATTTGTAACCATATGGGGACAATCAACATACAGCACTTTAACAATGCACTAACACTTCACTTTTTACCACATTTTATCTCTGAATTTATATTCGGCGTGGACTGTGATAAAGTGTACTTTAATAAAGGATTTGAGAGTGTGTGCGTGTGCGCACGAGTCTGAACCTGAAGGCGTAGGTCCTCTGATGCCAGCTGAGCTGGCCGCGTATGCTGTATGCGATAGTGGTGACAAACTCTCCTCCCAAGCCCAGTTCAGAGCACAGCTTCAGAGCAAACTTCTCAGGAGAGTTCTCCTTCTCAGACATGTCCCATTCAAACTGGTCTACCAGAGATATGTTCCCAACATGGATGTTTAACTACATAGATAAAAACAAGAGCAATGAAAAAATCATGATAATCAATTTTTATTCAGCTGAAAAATAAACAAAATAATGATACTGCTATGTTGATGTTTAAAGATAGGATTACTGAAATCAAGGACAGAATGACGCATGTACCTTGATGATGACTCTCTGGTCCATCTGCTCATCCAGTATGCTGTCTGTGGTGTAGGACTCTATCTGCTGTCTGATGGCCGAGGCAATGGCTGGAACAAAGGTCAGTGGGCTCAGATCCAGATCGTCGCAAAGGATTTCAGCAAACATCTCCGGAGTCATTAGCTTCTCTTTAAGGTTAAGGGGGAAAAAAAGACAGTTCAGGGTATTGTGTAATGCGGAATAAAAAACATTCAAAAATAACTTCAGTGGATGCTGCTCAGGAAGTGTGTAGGGGAGTCTACCATTCATGTTCCATGTGAAAGCATCACGCAGCTTCTGCCCGTCAATCTCCATGTCCAGTCGGATGGGCACCAGGATCTCAGGCTGAGTGGCGTTCTCATGGATGACCGCAGGGTCATGATCATCAAAGCTGAAATAGCACACATCCAGGGTGTAAAAAATGAAACCAGTTAAATTATATACAGGGGTAGGACAAAACAATGTGATACATAACTTGTGTAGACTACAGTAAAAAAAATTTGTAATGATCTTTTTTTTGTCTATATTCTGTAGGTTTAATATCAGTGTAGTACAAGTTCTTTTCAGCAGTGTTTAGTTCAAGTGCGTAAGGGAAAATCATGCAAGCCCATTTAGCAGGAATGTCTGTAACCTTTATGTCCCAACTGTTTAATGTCTTAAAAACAACATGACTGTGTACACAAAGCATGGCAAGACTTCAGCAGTAAGTAAATGATAGGGACCATCAAACACACAGAACTATTGCAGCAAAAGTGACAGAAAACCTCAATATTCCACCTAAAGACCCTCTTTCCACAAAAAAATGAACACAAAGAGCTTCACAAAGTCAACATCCATGAAAGAGCTGCAATTGCTACAACTTTAATCACGGACAAACCAATGCGGAAAAATATGGTGTCATGATGATCATGAAACCTGGACAGTTGGAGCACCAAGATAAACATCTGCTCTTGCCAGACAACTCACTGTGCGCAGTTTTTGAAGAGAAAAAAGAGAAGCAGATTTAATCCTCAAAAATCTCTCAAGCAAATGGCAGATGTTTTGATAGGCAACATTCAACTGGAGACTATTCAAAAGTTGTATGAATCTATTCAAAGAAAGTTGGAAGCTGTATTAAAAAAATATTGCCTATTTCCCAGCTCTTCACACTATGTCCAACACTGTATGTGTGTGTGTGTGTGTGTGTGTGTATGGGTGGACTGTCCCTTTAAGCAGACATTAAAACAAAATCATTACAGGAGTGAGTCTTTACATGTTTTCATATATGCTGTCAAAAACTGATGAATTTCACTCACTTTATGAACCGTGATGCTCAGCTCAATGTGAAATTGAAAGATTATTTAAAAAAAAAAAAAAAAAAAAAGAGAGAAAAATTTCACCAGAGCGGGAAGGTCCTTTTTTTGTCACGTCCCATTCGATTGCGGTTAATGGTGGTGGAGCAAGGCACAGCGTCCAAGTGATGGGAACTGTTGGGAAGAGTGGGCACCCACTGACTGTTTCTCTTGGCTTTCTGCTCCCTGTTAAAAAAAAACAAAAAATCACACAGGTTAAATAAGCAGATGTGCTGTCATGCAACAACTACAGCTGCACAAAAAAATGACCTAATAATAAACAGAAGGTTATCATTGGTGTGGATGCTAATGTAGTTATGGTTGCGGTTATCGTTCTTGGTGTGAACGGGCCTTACGTCTACTAAGCATCATAAATTCTTCACTAGTGTCATCACTCAAAAATATTCACACGTCTTCGTGTGGCAACTTCCTATTAAAATCTTTTAGTGAAAAACATTTGTAGATGAATATTGATGTTTATGTATTGATCAACTTGTCCATAAAAATGATTAACTATGGTTCTTTTTGTGGGTTGCTTGTTGAAATTGAAAAAAAAAAAAAACACCTATAGAGATATTTATATAAATATAATTTATTTCTTGCAACAACAGAGGAAAGGAGAACCCCAACGAAAGAAGTTTATTTTCCCTAAATGTATTATTTAAATGACCTATATAATGCAACAAGACTATAATATTAATCAATTATGAGAAATGTAATTGTTGCAATTTTTATTATGAATAAGAATCCTTTTTAATGACCATGTTCAAACACGAAGCAAGTGTGAATGTATTTTCTTTATCAAAGGTGAGAAATGGTTTACCTGAGATAGGCTGGAGGTTCAGTGCTGATGGACACGGCCTTGTACTTCTCGTCATGTCCCTCAAATATCTCCTCTACTTCTGAGGCCTTCAGCAGCGTCACACTGGTGGCTAAAGTGGTGTAACCGTGATCTAACACAAAACATTGCTTATACTGTAAGATAGAAAGTGCCACTTCCAGCTTACTCTAACCCTTTAGGTCCTTAGACCTCGTATCAAATGTTTACAGTGAGTACCACACTTACCGTGAGATGATGCTACTATCTTCTTTCTCTCTTCTACTGTCGCTAGTCTTCTTGAGAGTGATGGGTAGCGCTTATATAAGGACCCTCTGAACATACGCAAGTAATTTCCCACCTAAAAACAGACATATAATGGAAAATGATATAGGACTGACTAAATAATTAGCCGTAGTTCTGTCAGTGACTGTACTCTTTAACGTTATCTCTGGTAAACTCGCATCGTGTAATAACACTACTACACCGCAAAGGATAGCCCTATACTTGATGTGTAAAACACCAGGACTGATTCTTTTCAATGATTCGTCAATCAGTTAAGAGATCTTATCCCAAATGACAACAATCTTAGCTAGCTAGCTAGCTAATGTATTAGCACTCAATGCAAAACAATGTGCGGTTTATACAAACATAAATCATCGTAAAAAAGATTAGTGCGTTAAATTGCACACCTCTGATCCAATCATGTAAAATTCTCCATCCTCCTCCAGTTGGAATTTAACAGGTTTCTGTCCGTATGTTTTGCTTAACGCCATGTTAAACGTTAGCGCGACCCGTTCCGTTGAACATGCGTATTAGCGAAGCGCCGGAAGTGGCTAGAATGGATACAGCTACGGGCGGAAGTGACGCAAATCTTGCAAAAGCTCGCGGCGAAAATGCCAAACGGTTGTTGTCAACGATTCCCCTCAAAGGGGTGGTTTGATCGTAAACTTAGGGGGGTCGAGGAGGACACGATGAAAATGTTTGTCGTTTGGACGAAAGACAAGGCTTTTGGTGTGGACGGTGAGATTTTATAGCTCTAAAAATTACGAGATTTAAATCAGGTTTTATTTGGTGTATTTCCCAAAGCTAAGATATTGCGCTGAGAACACCGATTTACTGTAACGTTAGTTAACTAAATTTTACAGACCCCAAACCCGTATCCAAAAAAATTAAGTGGAAACTCCTATATGTTCCTTTTGACGGGATACCCTTCATGGTGGTGGGGAGGAGGGTCTACTCCTGTCACCAAGGGGTAGACAAGCACAAACATGAAAAACTGACTAGACAACTACAACTGGTATGTCAACAAACAGTTACCCTGGCCTGCATGCACTTTGCCTCACACATATGTGACCCTGGACCACAAAAGTCATAAGGGTCAATTTTTTGAAATTGAGATTTATACATCATCTGAAAGCTGAATAAATAAGCTTAGCTTTCCATTGATGTATGTTTGTTAGGATAGAACAATATTTGGCCGAGATACAACTATTTGAAAATCTGGAATCTGAGGGTGCAAAAAATCTAAATATTGAGAAAATCGCCTTTAAAGTTGTCCAAATTAAGTCCTTAGCAATCATATTGCTAATCAAACATTAAGTTTTGATATATTTATGGCAGGTAATTTACAAATATCTTCATGGAATATGATCTTTACTTACTATCCTAATGATTTTTGGCATAAAAGAGAAATCGATAATTTTGACCCATACAATGTATTTTTGGCTATTGCTACAAATATCCTCGTGCTACTTAGGACTGGTTTTGTAGTCCAGGGTCACATATCTCATTATGTGGAGAGACAGAAGTAGCTTATTGAAAAGCCTTCGTGCTAGGTTACTTCATATGTTAGCCTCTTCGACAAGTATGGGCGCTAAATATCAACACAGATGGAACGTCGAACTGTATATTGTGTATTGTCTTTAGCTTGATGACCACTCAGACCATTGTTATGAAGAGAGGCGACGTCTTCAAGACTCGAAGAAACTGGACTGCCCAGCCAGAATATATGTGGTTCATCTAATCAGATTCCCTGATTACAAGGTGTATATTTATATTTATTCAGTGACTGAGCTAAATATTTGACTATAAATGTTGTTACGACCGGCTCGTTCTACTCCGTAACATAATTAAGGGAACCAACAACAAAATTTAAGTTTTAAAGCAAAATATAACTTTATAGTAAAAATTAAATGCATGGAGGAATGTCAATATAGTATGTAATGCAGTTCGTGTGTTGCGTGTGTAATGAATACATCAGTATGTTATATATGTGAAGAAAACAAACGTCATAGAGTGAGGGAGAAAGAAAGCGATGTGTCAGTGTAAAGGGGATATCAAAATAGGTATAGGTGCCTACAAGTAAGAAAATTAATTGGTATTATATGTTTTTTCAGATATCTGATGACATTCATAAACAGAGGAAGGAGAGCGCTGTGTGTCTGAGACGTGCCTTAACAAAAAACCCATCAGCAGTGAAGCTGGAGGAGCAATATGTTGCCTGCTTCCCAGGGATCGAGGAGCACAAAAACCATCCTGTGGTAGGAGAGGTCAGCAATCATTTATTTTCAGGAGATCTGTTTACATGATTATTTACATTGTCAAAGAGTAGGGATGTAACGATTCACTCAACTCATGATTCGATTCGATTCACGATTTTGATTTCACGGTTCGATTTTCTCACAATTTTTTTTAACAAAATGAGATTGAAGACATTATACAGTAAATGAAAAGGTGTCGTTTTATTAAGCTGTTGCTGCACGTTTCTTTGTGAAATTTAAATATAACAAAACTAAATTAAAATTTTAAAACAAACCTCAAATCGAATAAGTAAGTTACACAAATAAAAGGAATCTCGTCATATAAACAAACTAAGGCTTTGTCTGTGCTCTTTCCATTTAAAATTAGAGGCAACCACTGCTTTTTACTCATGATCCAAACAATGATGCTACATACATGCAACATGAGCAGTTTTTAATCTAAATTAGACTGTATCATTTTGAAATTTGAAGCAAAAACAGAATGGTCTGACTTTAGTTTTGTGAACTATACATAAAACATCTGAACGAAACAGCAGACGAGTGGAATGAGACGCAAATTCACTCTCTTTAAACAGCAATGATGTAGTGTTTCCTGAGTTACCGCTGTAAACAAAGCAGAGCTGCGCTTATGAACTCTACTTTAAAGGGGTCATATGATGTTGCTAAAAATAACATTATTTGGTGTATTTGGTGTAATGAAATGTGGTTAAGGTTCAAAAAACACATTATTATCCACATACTGTACATTATTGTTTCTCCTCTATGCCCCGCCTTTCTGAAACGCGTCGATTTTTACAAAGCTCATCGGTCTGAAAAGCGAAGCTAGAGTGAGCGGAGGCCTGCTGCTAGAGTGAGCGGGGGCCTGCGGGCTAGAGTGAGCGGAGGCCGGCTGCTAGAGTGAGTGGGGGCCGGCGGCTAGAGGCCTGCGGGCTAGAGTGAGTGGAGGCTGGCGGCTAGAGAGCGCGGCTGGTGGATTCGATGAAGGAGTGGCCGTCAGGCTTGCGGCAACCACATGTGACGACCCCGGGCTGGACTCCGCTTCGTCCACAAAGGTCTGCTTTAGTGTGGCTATCTTAAGAGTGGTGATGGGCTCATGGTGGATAAGGGATTTCTCATTGAGAAAGATGTGAAGGAGCTTGGCCTTAAACTAAACATTCCTCCGTTTGCAAAGTCAAATTTTCAAATGCCAGTCCCAGATGTTCAGATAACAAAAAAAAAACAGAGTGTAAATAAATCTTGATCTGTATCCCGTTTTAATCTGTATCACTGCTTTACCTGGTAGCTCAAACTACTTCCAAGAGGATACTTTTCCTGACCTACTGTTACATCTGTTTGTGGCCTGTTTGCTATGTAGCTCATAGGTGTCCCTGTCAGTCCTCTCAATAACTCCAAATCCTCATTTGTCACTTCAGACAAAGCTCTGCAATATACAAAATTCATGTCTACTTGTCATAAAATCCAGATTACTGGTACTCCAACGCTACAGTGAGTTACATGGTTTATCATGTTTAGTATTTCTATCCTTAATTATAAAGCATGAAAAACAACTCGCCTGCGAATATTTGGGTTGAACTGTTCTGGAACAGTGTAAGTAAAAACATAACCACTGATTTCTAGTCGTGTAGTTTCGCTTTCACAACGAAACACAGCGTCACACACGGCGGCCTTGAGTGAGCGGAGGCCTGCGGGCTAGAGTGAGTGGAGGCTGGCGGCTAGAGAGCGCGGCTGGTGGATTCGATGAAGGAGTGGCCGTCAGGCTTGCGGCAACCACATGTGACGACCCCGGGCTGGACTCCGCTTCGTCCACAAAGGTCTGCTTCAGTGTGGCTATCTTAAGAGAGGTGATGGGCTCATGGTGGATAAGGGATTTCTCATTGAGAAAGATGTGAAGGAGCTTGGCCTTAAACTAAACATTCCTCCGTTTGCAAAGTCAAATTTTCAAATGCCAGTCCCAGATGTTCAGATAACAAAAAAAAAACAGAGTGTAAATAAATCTTGATCTGTATCCCGTTTTAATCTGTATCACTGCTTTACCTGGTAGCTCAAACTACTTCCAAGAGGATACTTTTCCTGACCTACTGTTACATCTGTTTGTGGCCTGTTTGCTATGTAGCTCATAGGTGTCCCTGTCAGTCCTCTCAATAACTCCAAATCCTCATTTGTCACTTCAGACAAAGCTCTGCAATATACAAAATTCATGTCTACTTGTCATAAAATCCAGATTACTGGTACTCCAACGCTACAGTGAGTTACATGGTTTATCATGTTTAGTATTTCTATCCTTAATTATAAAGCATGAAAAACAACTCGCCTGCCATTGCTGTAGTGACAGAAGATAGGTTTCCGTTTCTGGTTTGTCTTCGCCTTCACCACCACAACAGCTGTTACGGGCAGCGGTTTTATTTTTCTGCCTCTTGGTGACTTATGCCACTGTTGTGGCAGGCTTGTGGAGGACTGGACTGAGATACTACTAATATTTTGGGCTTTACAGAGGTCCAGGGTATAGATAAGACCAATGACATGGGCGCAGAAACCTGTGAAACTAACCAGACATTAGGGGTGCACATACGTTTTTCAGCCTGATTCTCATAAGAGAACCTGGAGATTTGGTTTGGTCCTCACACTGTGTGACCCATTAAATATAACTATAAAAAGAAATTAATAATAGTGATAATATTATTGCACTTTATTTATTTAGGTTTAAATAAAATAAACAAAATAATAAAGTGTGATAATTAGTGCTGTCAAACGATTAATTGCAATTAATCGCATCCAAAATAAACGTTTTTATTTACATAATATATGTGTGTGTACTGTGTATATTTATTATAATATATGCATGCATGTGTTTGTATTTATATATACATAATATACACAGTATACACATATTATGTAAACAAACTCTTATTTTGGATGCGATTAATCGTTTGACAGCACTAGCGATAATACTATTATATTTTAAAATAAAAAGGGAGTATTACATAAAAATACAATTATTTTATAGTAAACTTAAAAATAAAATGCTTATAATTTACTTTTTTATATATATGAATCTTCATCATTTTCAAACTTAAACTCAAGAGTGTCAGTGTTCAGTTTGATTAGAAAGCTTACACAGTATTACAGTTTGTCGATCAGTGATTGTGCATTAACAGCTGTCAACCATGTCGCTATGCAAATGCGCGGTCTGAACTTATTTACACAGTGCATTTTTTATTTTGGTCACGCATGTGATAGGCTGATAGGCTAATAATGTTGCCGTAGTTAGCTATCGCTAGCTAGGATTACTTACTGAATGTGACGTTATAAATGCATACTGCTTTTGCTTTTCAATGATTGTAATAGTGTATAAAGAGATATGTACCCAGCTTTACAGGAACAGTGTTGCTCCTTAATGTTGTTATCCTCAGTCTCAATCGCCAGGTGATGCGGTAGTTCAGTTTTACCCTGTGATCTATAGGCTATAGCTTCAGTCTTTATTTTGTTTATTTCATTTCGAGTCACGTTCACATCCTAAATATATCCCTCGAATGCATATTGCAGACCTATCTGTCTGAAATCAACATGTCATTTTTTCAGAAGTTATTCATTATTTCCCCAGGGAGTGCACAAATTGACAGTGGTAGCGCCATGGCTGGTATCGAAAGCTTGTCGGACATAGCAACAGTAACTAAGGGTATCGCGATTTGTTTAGGATCTCAACCGATTTGAATCGTCACATATTTGAATAGATTTTCAACCGGCTCGCGGTTAATCGTTACATCCCTATCAAAGAGTTAACTTACAACCATTCCATAAAGGACATATGATATTATTGATCACTTTAGGTTCGTGAGCCAGTGGACACTAGCAGCACCCCTCCCAGTGACAGCATCATTCCTCACAAAGACACCAGCAATCCTCCCAGAAACTCCAGCAAGACAAAGAAAAGGCAAAGGTGTGAGAGCTTACTGCATCAAATTTCAGATCTCACATACCGTCTACAGGATGAGCCATTTCTGGACTCCTTGACTTTTCGACTGAATGACCTTTTGGAGGATGTGAGGCGTCATACCCCTCATGATGACACCCTTCCCCTGTCTTACACACCTCCATCCAAAAAAATAATAGATACCTCAAAACCCTCAGCATAATCCCCAAAACACATCCATCCTCTGGAAAGTTTGGTCATGGTGCTGAAGCAGTGAAAGTAAGCTTCAAGCCTTAAATGCAGATGTAATGTAGTTTTTTTGCTTGTTCCTTTTGTATTAATGACCACAAAATAATAATTATAAAACGTGTTTTTCCGATTATGGACGCTGATTGCCTGAAACCTTTCTCCTCAGTTCTCCTCCTAATTTTAAAGCGTTAATTCAACAATATCTAAAAACAGCTTTATGTTTGAAAAATAAGAAGGGTGTAAATTTGTTACAAATTTGTTGTGATTTTACTTTATTTCTTTATATATTGTTTGTTTATGCACAATTTGCTTATCCTGTTGTTTACCCTGGCTGTATTTGTAATTTTAGTAAAATAAGAAAGAAAGAAAGAAATGGATTTATAAAAATTTACCACTTTTAACATTGAATTTAATGTAAATTAATTAATACCCATGTTTAATAAATAATATCCGTTTTAATGTTTATTACTGATGCCATATTTGGTTGTCTGACATTTTCTATAGTTGAGGGATCTAAATTTCATAGGAAAAGTGTTTAGAGCAACATTGTTTGCCATGTGGCTTGTGTAGGTGAAATCAAAAACACAGAAGCGTCAAGTTCTGGGGTCTCAGCGCCCTCCACATTTATTTGTAAGTTCTTAAAAAATGTAGTGCTTGTCTGTACATACAAAGGTACATTTATTAATTATATTCACAACAATAAAATTATAAATAAAACAATTACAATCTTATAAATAAATAAAAATGGGGCAATGGCACAAACTGGAATTCAACATTCAAACTTTGACATTAACATTCAGAGTTAGATTCAGACGTACAAAACGGTAAAAAGGGGACAAATACAAAATGAAGTCTGGATATGGCCCATGTGTTGAATGACAAGCTGCAGGTATTCATGGTCATAGTTTCCTGACAGCATATTTGTCAAGAAGACATTTTTAACCGTGAAATCACCATTGGCATATATTTTCTCCATGCATTTTGATCTTTCCATAAATTACGCACAATCTATATTTTGTTCCAGTTCAGCTATAGTTGGCATAGTAGCAGAAAACCAACCAGAAAACGCTTGGTGTATTTCTTTCATCGTATTACAATATAAATTCCTAATTTCTCTCAAATGAAAACACACACACACACACTAACTTTCACCTCTGGCTGAGTAAACACATCTGAAATCTCTCCTGATACGAACAACATCCCCTCAAAATTCCTGCTCATCATATTAGATCACATGGTAAGAAAGCACACATGGATGTAATGCACAATGCAAAAAGGCTTAGCAGGGTGAAGCCACTCACAGTGTTTGGTACAAAAAAGCCTTTCTGTAGAGTTACAGCGTTATATTGTGAATCACAGAGAGAGGCCAGCTGCAAATAAAAGAGAACGGCTTTGGCATTGATATATTTCTAAGTCTTAGCAACATTTGCATTTATATACATTAATAAGCACAAGCAATATTATTTATGGTTATTTAATAACCTTAAATAAATCCTGCAGCCCAGACCTGTCATCTCCTCATGCTCAAATGTGACTTTAACCAAGTCAGTTAGCAGTCAAAAGAGAATCTTTCAGTCTTGAGTGATCTGATTATTGCCTGAAAGGTTAGTTTCAGTTTGTAATCAGTTACAGGAAAACTGGCAGCAGCAACAGTCAAAACAGCCACGTAAAAGAACAAAAAGCAACAAAAGACTATACAATTTACATGGTTTTACTGTACATGTAATACTGTAGCTATACTGTGAGAGCAAATTTTGCTATTGAGTCCGAAGGGAGATTCTGTTTGAAGATGAATCAATAGAAAATCCACTTTGAATTTGAAAAGGACCAAGGACCACATCACTACTCTCCTGCTTTCAGGATCTGTCTAAAGTGCTTGAAATGTCTTCGTTTAGTGTGCTCATGTGTGAACGACTGCATCTGGTAAATGCTTCCCCACATAGTGTGCCTCTTATGTGCAGTCTTAAGGCAAACCTTGTAAGAACCACAGTGGTCCTCCTGTGCCTGTCGCATAGTCCGTAGGGACAGGAAACACAGGGACAGCTTCCTGCAAGAAACGAGCAGCTCAATAATGCAATTAATCCATTGGATAAAAGATCCAGATAACACTGTCTGGGTTAATAAAGTGACTTGGTAATGTCCAACAGCACTCGGCAGAGCGCTTTCAGAAGAAGCCCTTGGGTATTTTGAGCCCTTTTTGCTTCATGCGTGGTAAAGTCAGGCTCGGCGAGCTCTTAGAGCGGCAGGTTTTGGGGGCGCCACGCTTTCGCAGCAAGAAGTCGTAGTCGGCAGATGAGTTCATGGCGTAGAAAACGTTTCCATTATCTGGGATTTTAAGTTCTGTGGAGGGAAAAAAATGAAGGTTAGAAATATCAACAAGCCTAACCGGGAATTGAAAATACTGTCAAAATTAGAACTGGAGTTTTGCAGCTTTTAGTGCATGTGTATTAGATTTCAGACTATTTCAATTGTAATGCACTCTAAAGCCCCGTTCACACCAAGAACGATAACGATATTAGCATCCACACCAGCGAACGATATCGTCTGTTTATTTTAAGCGCATGCTCGTCTGCCGCTTTAAATTCTTGAGCTCGTTAAAGCAGGATGGATTCTGATTGGCTGTCAATTTTTTATCGTTCATCAGCTGGAGAAAAATCGTTTTGAAAGTGATTCCAACGATATCGTTTCTCTTTGTCTTTATCGTTATAGTTGTGGTGTAGACTGCTATTCTTTAATATCGAGAACAATTTTTTATCGTTATTTTTATAGTTATCGTCCTTGGTGTGAACGGGCCTCTTTAATATCGAGAAATTTTTTTAGAACTATATCTTTATCGTTATTTTTATAGTTATCGTCCTTGGTGTGAACGGGCCTTAAAAAGGTAACTAAACATTTATCTGATATATATACATTTGAAATCACAGCCTTTATCTTTCCTGGAAATTGGACCTAAAATGGACATCTAAAAAAATGTTTTTGTCTGATAAATACAACCCGCCATCATCTAGCAATAGCAATGAGCAAATCAAGATTTTGACAGACTGTTAAAGGCTATTGGTGATTAAAAAAACAAAACAAAAAGGTGGGGATGCACTGATAATACAATTTCAGCCGAAACTGATTAACCAATAATTATTTTCATTTATGGCCGATAACCGATAAATATCGGATATTAAAATGTCAAACTAATTAGTCTAAACAAATAAAAAAAAGTTAAAAAAAGGCAACATTATAATGTATAGTGTTAAAAATTGATATTAATTTGTATAGTGTTATTAAATAATTGGTTAAATATTAAATAAAGAGAGTGTTAGATGATGGCTAAGGTAACTTAAATGTAACAATAGTGGAAAAAACATTAAATATCCATAAAAAAAGCATCAGATACTGATAAATTAAAAATAAAATCTCTAATATCTGCCAGTAACTGATAATGTACCAATATATCCCTAAAAAGAACAAGCTCTTCGATATTTCCAGCCCCAACTTCCTGTTTCAGGTTTTTACCTTTATGCTTGGAGACCCTCTGTAACAGATCATAGTCTTCTGACTTGTCATTGTCCAGGTTGTGCTTGGCCATGGCTTTCCTAATGACACCCGGGGTTTTGTCCTGGCTAGTGACCTGCAAAACACAATCATCAAGATTAATTTTCCTTCTACCTCACCATCTTTTCTTCATTATATATCTCTGTCTATTTCCCATAATGTCTCTCACTCACCAGGATGCTCTTGTACATGTTGCCGTTGTCCGTGTCAAGGCTGACTCTGATGATGCAGCAGTCGTTCACCTGCTGGTTGTACAGCGGCAGGGAGAGAGACGAGTAGTCAGAGACACCAGAGACCGACCGTTTGTGAAAATGGAAGGTCTGCCCTGTGGAGGTGGAGACTGAGGATGAAGAAGAGGAGGTGGAGCTGCTGCAGCCAGACTCCAAGCCCAAGCCTGATCCAGAGGCCTCCAAAGATGAAGGAGTGGACGACTCCCAAAGCTGGAAAATATAGAAATGAATGAATATGTTTAAAGCTCATAAAAGCAAGTATTATATTTCAATTTAAATGACAAACATGCTCAAGAAAATGCAAATACCTTGGAAGAGGAATCAGAAGCAAGCTCCCCTGTATCTGAGGTTGATGTAGAATGTTTCACAGTTGGTGTGGATGTCTGGAGAAAGATTCAGTAGTCAGGTTATTACAGAGTCACTATGTATACTAGGAAAAAAATAATATATATAAATATATATAACTAAATAAATATATATATACATATATGTGTGTGTGTGTGTGGTTGGTATAAAACTATTATATTTTGTCTAAATAAATTAAAAATAAAACATATACATATATATATATATATATATATATATATTTATATGGTAGTTAGAAAACTATTATATGTGACCCGGACCTCAAAACCGGTCATAAGGGTCAATTTCTTTAAATTGAGATTTATACATCATATGGAAACTGAATAAATAAGCTTTCCTTTGATGTATGGATTGTTAGGATAGGACAATATTTGGCAGAGATACAACTATTTGAACATCTGGTATCTGAGGGTGAAAAAAAATCTAAATACTGAGAAAATCACCTTTAAAGTTGTCCAGAAAGTTGTCCAGATGAAGTTCTTAGCAATGCATATTACTAATCAAAAATTACGTTTTGACATTTACGGTAGGAAATTTACAAACTATCTTCATGGAACATGATCTTTACTTAATATCCTAATGATTTTTGGCATAAAAGAAAAATCTATAATTTTGACTCCTATTATGTATTTTTGGCTATTGTTACAAATATACCCGTGCTATTTAAGACTGGTTTTGTGGTTCAGGGTCACATAATTTATCTAAATAAATTAAAAATAATACACTGTAAAGTGATATCAGTACTTTTAAATGCTGAATTTAGGTGAATTTACGCATAGTGAGCATTAGACGATATCTCATCATCAGTTGATATCTTCAAATAAAAAAATCTTTAATCTTGACCAATAACAGGTATGGCACTGGTATATACTGTATCGCTGCCAGCAATCGCATAATTTTAAATCTAAACAATGTTTACTAAGCATACTATTAGGTCTGTAAATAAACAATATGGCCTTACTCTTTGACTTCCTGTTTCTGGGGAGTTCAGCAGACTGAGACTCGTCTCCTCTGCGTCTGAGCCGCTGGATCCCGCTGAGGTGAGGCTGAGGGAATCGGCTCCGTCTTTGAAGCTGTCTTTGAACTGGCTTAAGCGCGGCTGCTCAAAGGACTTGGAGTGGGACGTCCCTGCGCTGCTGTAACC